ATTAAGCTGATTAAGTCATGAATTGCAAGCCAGCTTACAAACTGTACGACAATCCTGTTTCATTAGTAAATCTCAAGGTAATTATTCTCTCTGAGACTGTCTGTAATACACGTAGCTGCTCCTTTGCAAGTCTCTAGACAAATTAAATATTGCATCAAAGGCGAGTTCTATTGTTTATACATTTCGACTTCCACCTCACACAAAGTACTAATACAACATCCTACCAACTGCAGTATTCATCAAGCTATATACATAATTATGTTTCAATCAAATTAATTTTTAATTTTCACTACTTCCTAATGTATGGTATAGTGTTAAATGTTTTTTAAGTACTTACATAACAGATTCACAAACGTTAATAATGATTGTTTACGATATATAGTGATATAATCTTAATTTTCTGGTAACCAATTGAGATTTTTCAATTTTTTCTTTTATTTATTATCAATTTGTTTAACCTACACACTTTTTCTGCTCGCCCACATATAATTTTTTTCTAACATGACAAAAGAAACACACAAACCCATAAAATGGAAGTACAGTGATTTAACCGGGTTACTAGGCTAAGTATATGTCATGTATGTGTTAAAATATTATGTACAAGAACAAACCGAGGAAATTAATTGCATAGGAATAACATACATATGCATTACCTCATGCATTTAAACGTTTTCTACATAAACGTTTAAATTTTCTTTATATGTGAGAGTTAGTTAACTATAAATAGGCCTACACTATAAAATCAAGCAAAATTAACTTGCTTTATTAGAATTCCATATCATAAACATCCAGCTTAAAATATCAAATTAAGTTATTTGCAAATCGTAAGCTATCATTTGGATTTATCAATATATCATAAACATTATAGTTCAAATGGTTCAACCTACACCTACACTTTTCTTCCTAATTTACAACAAGTAGAAAGGCGTTTGTATAATTCTTCAGTTTAATTATAAGGCTAATCAAAGGAACCGCTGGACGATCTTAGTTATCGTATTGAATTACTTATTAGGTATTAGCGATACATTTTATACATGAAGGTAGAAGTATTGTGAAATACAGTAGTTGTTGTGATTGGCTTGTAAAACAGATCTATACTAAATCAAATACAACAAACATTACCTTAACTACAAATGTCTTGGGAGTTTGTCACCAGCACAACAGGTTAACCAAACAGACATGTAGCGACGCGCACACAAACTGACTAATCATCAAGATGTTGTGAATCGGTAACCAGCCAGCTGTTAGACGCAGTCAGCTGATCTCATTGTTGTCTGAGCCCTGTCGCAATATTACTGTAGTAACTGAATAGGAAAGGCTGATGGTTTATTATTGCAGTGTCAAAACAATGCATATTAGAGTATATTATTGGCGAATATTTTAAAAATCCATACAATAAAGCATGAAGAATAAGTATAGTGTACAGGTTAGGTCAGATGAATAATTATAAACGTACGGTAAATATATTTCTATGAATTCAGCTTACTCCTTACGAAAACAGTGCAAAGAAATAAATCTTCATAATTAATTGCATTTTTCATTAAACTCCTTTAAAACAATGGCAGAAAATTCAGCTGATTGCGAAAAACGTTGTAAAATAAACAGGATAGAAGAATACGTTTGAAATACATTTGATATTCTTGTGCATCGTCATTATGAAGTTTACAAAAACTAGATGTGTAATTGTTTTGGAAAATATTTATTTTTAGATAACTCTTATACTGCTTTAGAGCTCGCGTTCAAATTTTAAGATTGCTGGTTCGATTCCAAACAAAACCAATAACTGGTCCTAGATGACATGTGTTTATTCTACTGTCTAGTTAAAGGTCAAATTTAGATATTAGCAAGACCAGGGTTCGGATCGCTGTCTTAAAAATAACAATGGCGTGGAAAAGCATGAAAAATAATTTATTTACTATGATATGAAGGACTACTACATATTCTACTGACATATTCTATGATTGGTTGAACTTGTAAACATGATATTTGTGACCTAGTGAGACAACTTGTCCTAAGTAGGTTGAAGTCGTTACCGAAGGTTAGAAATGTTCTGCAGACAACATGGTAAACAAAGTCATTCGTCTACGTGACCCCGTCAGACGTACTGTCAGGGACGTATCGAATATCTGACAAACTACAGTATATACAACCTCCAATCCATGTATACAATCCATTGAATGTCCATTCTTATTTATTTGTAAGTGATAGTACTTCGTGGTTATTTTAAAACACTCTATCTGTTCTACAATTTGTTGATATCGAGTTCATAACAACACAATCTAAGGTTTAGATCATGCCTCGGTTCCAGCTTAAAATAACCACGCTTATTTCTAAAATAAACTTACCCTAAATAGGATTTGTAGGTACTTACCGTATAACATTTCAAACTGAAATAAACATAGTGGTAGTTAATTCACGGAATAGAACCATAACTTTTAATTATTTTTTTCTTTGTAAGCTCAACTTCCTTACAGGTGATAAAAACTTAGAATGTGATAAACACAAACTCTCTTCCTGTCAAGCCAGAGAAAAGACCAAACTCTCAAGGATAAAATATATATTAAATAAGGTTAGTAACTTGTTCATAATTTTTTTGTCATAATTAACTTGGATTCAAATTAACATTGAACATCCATTTAGCAATCCAAACCTACTATGTAATAATGAACCTTGATATCAGACTAGATGGTTTTGGTCTGTTGCAGTTTATCTTGTAGTGATCGTTTGCTATCATGGAAAACGCCTGCATTTGTCTGATGCAATGTGGATACAGCATATACATTGCGTCTACATCGGTCAGGCGTCTCCTGTTGTGATCAATTTATCATTCATCTACACTACATACATCTCATACACTGTTCATGGGGGGGGGAGTAGGTGTATACATTTTTTCTCACAGTTAATTTTTATTATAAATTATCGTAGCAGAGTACTTTTTAACACATATTGCTTATATTTTAGTTTATGCAAGTGAAACCCCTCCTAAAGTGCAGGTTTTATTTGTATTTTGAGAATATTTATGTTAAGTGAGTCAAAAATGGAAGTTAAACTTTTAAGGGGGTTATAATATATATTAATAGACAAGCATGTTTCTTGAAAACCTTTTTTCTTAACTCCTGTGCATCACGGAGAAAATCTACACATACTGTTAGAAAGATATTTGCCTGTAGATGTGCAGAATCTCTTTATAAGTTCAAATAGGCTCAAAAATATGTACAAAAAATGAATTTTAAATAATTAACATGACCCTTATGGGTTGCCATGTTAGAAACAAAATAACAACAAAATAAACAATCAAAACAAATGGAAGAAATTCCAATCACATGTTTTATTTACAGCGTGGGGTGAAAATAGAGAAGTTTGCACAATACATACTTTTGGTCGATTTCTGACCCTGGACTATTTTTTGAGTATCAAAAAAAAGAGTTTTGAGATGTAATTTCTAAAGCGGTACATTTTACTTTGCTGATTAAACATATTGAAAAGTTTCTTTCCTTTTCACAACATCTTACAGAACCACCAGTTGATGGGATTATACATTTAACTATAGAATAATCATTGAGAAAATAATTATAAGATTGACCGACCATATACTCAGTGAAAACACTTGGTGTATATATAATTCTTGGTTTATGATTGAGTACAGCTTACACTTTAATTGAAGAAGGTTTAGAAGCACGACTTGAAATATTTAGGTTTTTCCCTCATGATGAGCTACAAGTGGCCATAAAAGCTTGATCGATAATGAAAGCAGCAGTTTCCACATATTTTTTACAAAGTTAATAAAAATTTTGCCAAAAGCAGAAATGTGATTTTTGCAGTTTTTGACATTTTGTTATAAACTAGCATGAACGAAGTTTAAATGATGAAAACGTACAAATTCTGTCTCTGATCTGAGTCTGTCTGTAAGAGACTCAATTATTTTTAAAAATATTGAAGCCTTTAAATAAAATATAATAGACTGACAGAATTAAGAAAAAATGAATCAGTAAAATAGAAGTTAAATTTGACATTTCAAAAAGGATTTCAACTGAATCAATTCATCCTTTTTCATACTTGGAAGGTTTCTCTATTTACGTCAGTCAATGTTTTACCTTTAGAGACAACTAATAAATGATTCAAAAGCAGAACATTTATCTGGAGTCTGTTGCTATGACGACCAGCAGTGCTTAACTGGCGACGTAGTCTTCTCATGGTAACTGTGCTAATAAAAACAATTTTACTTTTATTTTTTAAATGTTAACCAAAATTGAATGTTTATTAGAATTTATAAATTATATACAACTACTAGTCAAAAAAATTGGAGGCTAGCTAAATATTGGATAAAACCTTTATTTAGAAAATGACTTATAGTGAGCTATAGCAACTGTTATGATTCATCAATCTGGTCAGCAACAAAAAATAAGGTGTTAAATATAATAACACTAGCGCATTCTGTGTCTGGCTTACACAACTACGTTCTTTTTTAATAAAAAATTGGCGACAGCTGGTCCATATAGATGGGATATCTACGTCAGTACCCATTAAGATTGAACAACATTTAATCATTTGGGTGGTACTACAGTATAATGCCACTTAAATTAGGGACTTTTATAACAATTTTTATGTACAAAATGCATAAAAGCGCCAGCAGTCTATGGGTAGAAACCGGCTGTCGCATTTGTGCGTCGCTGGTCCATATGAATGAAAAATATAGTACTATTGTGGTGTGTTAAGTGAAATGGCTTGGTTTGGATTGTAAATTGAAGAATATTATCAGTTTGGGCTATAAGAGAAAACCTATCCCTAATTTGTTTGGTTAACGAAACAATTTTTTAAATGACAGGTTTATGATCAAATGTTTGTTTGAGTCAATAAACAGTTTGGTTAATAAACTTCAAAACCAGCTTCATACTTTGCGTTCATGCTCCAAATGCCAGAAAGACAAAAATTATTTATTGTTTGATTGTTTTACATAAATTTAAAGCATAAAAGCCAAAGGGCAATAACAACAAATCTAGTAAATAACAATTTACAATTTATATACAATAACAAAATCAACTAAATTTACAACGATAGTTTCTGCGAGTCAAGGTCTTGTATGAGCGCATTTGCCAGGTTGGAGGGAGTGACTTCACGTTGTAAGAAGTCTGCTACCAAGGAGTGTGCAGGTTTGCCACCTCCGTGCGCAAGGCAGAGGTGTCGATAGCGCTCACCTTGCGCTCGGCTCAAAGGGTCTTCTTTGAAACTAGACTGCCAGATCCATGAGGCCACAGCGCGACTGAGAAGATAAGCGTAATACTTGGCTCCGTAGCCAACTAGGTGGGAAAACCTCAACTGCCATGCCTGTAATAAAGGAATCTGTTCTTTAAGTATGATCATAGCGTAAACACATGTTTGCACAAGTGTTAGGTATGTCCATGGAATTGATTCCAAGTAATACAACACTCAGATTACCACCCAATATAAATTAATCATTTTATTGTAACGGATTTCTTGCAATAGCCTGTTTTGCTGCTAACATTAACCAGATTGAAAGCACAAGTAATTGTTTGACTGATCTCAAACATCACAGGAAGGAAGGAAACATTCATCCAGTTAGTATATGATTCCAGTGCCACAGAAAATCATAATATTTGAATACTCAATATGGTAAAATACTCACATAAGTAATAAATTTATTGTAAAAATTAGTCTGCTATATGTAAGTAATTATTTATTAAAACAAAACCAATTTAAAATGTCAACGTTCTAACTCGTCAACCTCTGGGTCCAAAAATTGTCAAGTTAGAGAGGTTTTACTGTAAATTTCAAATTTGTTATTTTGGGGAAACAAAAGTAGGTATGGTTAACTAGTCTTAAGCACAAAATGTTGTCTTTTCATGTTTTCTGTGTCCACAATCCACTATTAATTTGCTAGCATCAGTAATGCAGCTTGACGACTTACAGTGGTAGGAACGTAAGGAATGCCAAAGTACTGTGCCTGCACTTCAGCAAGTATCTCTGTAGTATTGCCCTTCAGAGGGTGTGGTCCATGGTACCTCTGGTCCAGTGCTGAGTAGAACACCTGTACCTGTAAAATAGCGATAACAAATATATCATTAATATATTACATAGTTGTCAGAATTCTATAATTCGTTTGAGAATCAAAGCAAGCAAAACTGGGATGGATTAAATTTTAGTTTTGATATTTTGGCTGCTCAGTTACAATGTATTACTACTACTTACTATAGCTATCATGTGAGCCGACTAAAAATTTAAGCAAAAACTATCAAATTTCTTCGACTGTCGTAGACAAAAAAATATATCGAATGAAATTTGAAAATAGTTCACTCAAAGAAGTATAATTTTATTTATACCTGCATTTCCGAAGCAGCGAACAATCGTTTGGACGCACAAAGTCTCTGAAGCATTTCATCTGGCATTGGTTCTTTGGTCATGTAGTGTCGAGCAAAACTCTTCAGCACCTAAAACAGAAAATCTGGTGGTTGTACTGTAATTACAGATGAATAGGCCTTTAAAAAACACCAATATGGGTGTAAAGTGTTTAGTTTGAGCCGTAATGAAGTGATACAACTTCCTCCATATTCTGTCTTTACATACATTTTTTGTATGTATAATTTCCATTTCAAGTTACTATCCTGGTTGGAATGGGTGGACGATGAAGAGTAGGTCAATGGTATTGCACCTTCCAGTAGGGTTTTAGCATGGACAAAAGAATTAAATATAGACTGACAAAGGAAGGTTCCACAATGTGCCCCTAGGGTGTGCTCAATGTTTGTCAATTCGCTGCCGTCGTCTACTCACCGTCTGCTACAAGCACTACCACCTTTGCAAACAAAATGCTACTTACGTATAAGACCCACTATTCAATATGGGTAAAGTAAAAAGTAAACAATTCTGAAATCCCAATTTTAATAAAAAATCCCACACGGAAAAATAAAGGAACAAACTTCTACTCCCCAGATTCCAGGGAATTCTCTAGAAGTTGGCAACCCTGGCTCCAACTACCAACTTGTCATCGCAACGCTTGCTAGCGCTTGATGCTGCAGCGGTGTGCGCCGAAACTACTCGGCACTCCTAGCGGTGGACGCCAGATTATATGCTAACCGCAGCACTGTTGTCATTCATATTTGATTCTATTGTCTATGGTTTTAGTTTCAGAACCTAAATTACTAGAAATCAAAGACTATGTGTAGACAACTGTTTTATTTTATTTATACTTTAGTTCAATTCTTTATATTGCTGGTTTAAATAGTGTTTGAATTGTATATCACGGTTTTTCAAATCAAACATCATAAGATTTGTTAAATTTTTCCCTGTGTGTGGTAATCAACTCTTGCTGAGAAAAATTTTGAAAACATAAAAATGTTTGTCAGAATAGTATGAACGTCTAAAGTTAGCAAGTAAAGTACCATCATTGTTCACATTCAGTTTACCTCCTGGAGATACAAATTTAACAATTAAATGAGTTTTCAATAGAAAACAGAAAAACACACATAAATTCTATATCATATTTGTTTTTAGCTTGACTCTTAGCTTTCTAAGGATGATACAGTAGCCTGATAAACAAACCCTTTGCCCAAACTAAACTTAACTAAAAAATATTTGGATTTATTAATACACATTGATAAGATCATTTGAATACCTACTGGAACCTCAAAAGATAAGAAAAAGGAATAAGAATTAAGAATTTTCAATCTTTGGAGACCTAACTTATTCAATAACAGATAGTTGAGACCCTACTAAAGTTGATTTGTAATGCTTTTTATGTTGATCTAAATTCAAACTGTTTATGTTAGCTTAACATAGCCTACTTGCTACAAGCTCTCAAATGACCTGAGATACTCTGGAGTAAGTCATCTGGTAGGGTATCTGTTAATAAAGTATTATTTGTTTAATACTTTAAAGTATTGACTGACAAAATCAATAACACCTACACGAGGATCAGAGGCGAAGTACTCCATGAGGATGGACGGAACCTCCGCAAAGTCTGTGGAGCACCTGGTGCCAGTAACGTGTTGGTACTCAGTGCGCGCCAGCATGGAGTGCATGGCGTGGCCCATCTCATGGAATAGATTGTCCACCATAGCAGGCGTCAACAGGCTGGGTCCGGACCAACGGGGCGTCGGCAGGTTCAACATTAGGACTACGATGGGGTGCTGCGACAGACAATACTTCATCACTTACACTCGTCACTAGTGGCTTAGGGCAATAATTAGTTTTGGTATTCAATCAAAATACAAATTAAAAAGTCAATAAAGGTAAAACCTTCTTGTGATCACAGAGAAGTAAGATCCAGAGGAAACATTTAATGGTACACTTAAGTGGTGTCTAGTACTAGCCGCTGGTGTCTAGGGCACTTCGTACTGCTCCCCTTGCCATCACGTACTGCAACGCTCACAGTGGAGGATGACCCTGAGTCCTGTGTGATAGGAATTTCCCCACAGTGTTGGCTGTTCAGTCTCTTCCTACCTCATTACAAGTACATTTCTGCCCCGACATACCAGTGCACGGTTGACCCATAAGCTTGTATCCTCTATATCTTACTTCTCTGTGTTGTGAACAAGAATAACAGAAATATTAAGTGTTTACAATTCCTTGGCAGTCAGCACATTCCTTTTATGGGTTTAACCAACCTAACCAACCTAAACTGAGATTGTATTATTTTGACAAGCAGTTTTTTTTTGGAGATAAGTGAAGTTTGAGCTGAGGCAGAATGTAGTGGAACAGCATTCCTAGATCTCAAGCCTAAGGATTTTTATATCCAAGACCAACACTTGTAAATTGGGCTATTTTTGAACGGTTTTGTTTGTTTTCTTTTTTACAAAAAAAAATATTTACCTATGTTTAATTTTCAAATTTTTTCAACACTTCCAATACAAAATAGTACAAAAACCTCAATTTATACAAATGGAGCACTCTAAATAGGCAATTTACGAGGTATGGATGGAAGTAAATTATACAGCATGAAGATGAATGCATCATAGTCAAATCATATGTTATACCCCGCCCATTTCAGCCAGTGTTACTATTGTAGTCTGTTTAGTGTTTAGTCAGGCTACGTTTGTTTCAGTAGACTTTGTTTGGATACCATTCAGAAAACAGTATGTATCACTGAATAGTACACATAGACAAACATTTAATTCTTTCAAGTTAGGTACCTGATATGATCCGTCACTCAGTTTCTTTCCTCCCTGGATGGTGAAGTGACAGTCCTGATTGGGCTTGTTAGCTCTCTCGTAGAAATCACAGTATATGTAGCCCAATAGCCCCTCACTTTCATGTGACACTATAACAAACACAGAGAAAAATAAGCACTTAGGCTACCAACTTTTAACCATGTCATACTAAACACTCTTTTTATACCTCTATATTTCTACCTAGACTATAAAAGGTACATTTTGTCCAACCACTTAACGGTGAAGGAATCCAGAATGGATTATTCCTTAGCTATCATTAGACTGTTAATATACTTTTAATCAAAGGTTGTACACCATTACTGACTAGAAGTTTTTGACTTGCATTGTTTTTTAATTAAACATCATTCAAAATGTTACTTAAGAGAGTCACATGAAAGTCTTGAATGAGCCGAGTTCAAGCCTCTACCCTTTTTTCAAGGCGATCTTTGTATGCAATGTATCTGTTGTTATGACATATGAGTTGATACATAGCCTTCTCTAGTAGTCCTACACAAGGCTGCGTCGAGCGAGAACTGGCATTGTCGCATCTGAGTCTTGGTCTTACTTATTCGTGCTTCTACTACCTTAAATAATTAGTAATGACATTGAAATTGTTACTACAACATGCCAGATAGATGTGTTGTGCCTGAGTGCAAGTGTAATTACGAAAGCTCAATTTTAAAAAAATGAAGAATACATACAGTGTTTTAAGATTCCAAATGATCCACCGCGTAAGCAACAATGGCTTCATGCTATTCCTCGGTCAGATAGGACACTTCAAACAATTCTCGTGTTTGCGTAAAACATTTTCAAGAAGACGACCTAATTTTTGTATAAAAATAAAAGAATACAACAATGATTGGTGTAAATAGATTTTAAGCAAAGATTTTAAATAGATAGATCTTTACAGTTTACACTTTTCAGATATTTCTATAATACTTTCGTTATCTGCTGTGGCTTCCTGGTAAAATTGTTTTTTTCCTTTTTGGTAAATGTGTAATTAGAATTTAGAGTAACAATTATTATTAAAACGATGTTAGATTGTATAATATGGATGGTCTGATAATAACTCGTTCCCCACGCACGGGCTTCGCCTAGCCTATGTGGGGAAGTTCCATTATTATTAAGAATACTGTTTTTGTAATTCTTATTTATCATGGAATAAATGATGGAATAAATGAATAAATAAAAATAATATTTACGCGAGAAGCGAGTTTAAGGTGAGAATACCATACCTACACTATTTCTACATGTAGACTCAATCACACCCAGGTCATTGTGAGTATTGTGACCCATGTGATATTTTTATTTTTAGCGAATTTCCCTATAGGGAAGTAGCTATTACCGTAGGTGGCACGGTAAGAACTAGACCCGGGACCAATTTACTTTTTCATTTTGATGTCCCCAGAGGCCAAAAACACCATTCGTTCAAATTTTTATATATGTATATATATATAGACTTATATATATATATACGTCCGTGAACGCGATAACTTGAGTAATTTTTGTCAGATTTTGATGAAATTTGGTTTAAAGGTGTAAAGCGGGATAAATTTGAATGAGTTCGCAAACCAGCACGATCGGACCATGGGAACGGGGCTTTACGGGGGGTTTTATGGGGTAAAAATTGGTTTTTCTCACTTTTGACCCTCAAAACACAAAATTTCCCGATTTCTCTTTAGACCTTTTTAAAGAGCTTAAAAAAACAAATAATTTAGTATATAAAAGTATTTTTAACCGACTTCCCCACTACCAACAAAAGGAGGAGGTTCTCAATTTGTCTGTGGTGATGTTTTTTTTTTCTATGTATGTTCACCAATTTCTCTGTGATTCTTTTACCGATCAGTGTGGTTCCACCACCAAAATAACCAGGAGAGTTTCTATTTGGTACCTTATATATTATGTTTAAGTATAATATTTGTTTCAGTGAAAAATTCTGAAAACCTTAAATATTCAACATTTATTTTGTTTACATTTGTGCAGATTGTTTACATTTGTGAAGAGAAGGCAATAAATAATGATTAGATTCCTACAGCTGTTAGTTGAAACCATTTAAATGAAGCTACAGACAATTCTTCATGAAACAGTTGCTTCATATTGATCAAAAAACTATTTCTTGCCATGGAGCCTAAATGAATTACATTGAGAAAAATGCATTTTGTTTTGGTTACTATAAAAAAATGTATTTTAACGTTTGACCTGATTTGTGTATACAGTAATTCTGTTTTTAGTATTGAATATTCTGACTTACAAAAACATATATGTTTCAGTGAATAGCTGTATGATATTGACAAATAAAGGTGTAAAAAACATTCGTAAAACAGGTCTAAATATAAATCAAATGCAATTATTCCTTACACGACCTAAGAAGTGTGGCAGTGCATAATCGTCAATTGTCTTAAAAGTGTTAGATATTTTAATTACTAAACATGCATTTGCAGATGTGGAACGTTTATTGATGTTCTCTACCCAGTTACTATATCATATCAATACTATTATGCCTGCTTCGGAAAGTCCTAGAGGAAGATGATTTGCAATTTCGACTAGGCTATATCTTGATCAAACAAAACCACCTACATGGCTTGCACCACTTTTAGCTGAACCAATCTTTCATATACATATTTCATTTGCAGATGTGGAATGTTTATTAATATTCTCTACCCAGTTACTATAACATATCAATACTATAATGCCTGCTTCGGAAAGTCCTAGAGGAAGATGATTTGCAATTTCGACTAGGCTATATCTTGAGCAAACAAAACCCCCTACATGACTTACACCACTTTTAGCTGAACCAATCTTTCATATAATATTTTCCAAAGGTACTATACGAAAGGTACTATGGTGTTAACGACCAATTTTCCACTTTTGAGAGATTTTTTAGTGCTGGTAGCTGAGGAATAACTTTCATATTGTTCCAAAAGGCTTGAGACGTTACTGTATTTCTTTTTATAATGTAGAAGTACACCAATTGCAGGAAACGATGATGTCTGACATTTCAATGTATCTAGAAAAGACAATTAGTTTTTCACTAGGCCTACTGTAATGGAAAACTCTTTCTTTCTTAAGGAATATCTAAAGATGTTTATTTTCATACCCATTGATTATGTTACCTGAACAGGTGACTCAAGCAGTTTTAAAATAATGATTGTTCTGTGGAACTTTTGATTGTGTCAAACAGTTTTGCTTATCAAAAATCCTCAAGTAATTAATATATAAAAAATTATACAGTCACTAAAAATCATGAAATAATTTATTTTTGTAAAAAAATACAACCGACTTCAAACGCTCTAAAAAGAATGAAATAATTTCAATAAAGTAAACTTTTGTATTAGGCAAGCTCACGTATTTCAAGTCGGCGCGGCTCAAACTGCAAATATGATTGAAATCAAATATTGTGTGTGTATTTTGAAAATCAATAAATTTTAGCTGGATAACATAAATAGATAAAAAACATACTGAGCTGTTTTATTTATATATTAAAGGAAATATTTTCTTGTATTTTATGTTTACTTCAGAATAAATGCATTATGAAAATAACACACACAAATGTTCTATATGAATAGGAAAATAATTTAGTTTGATATGGAAAGGTTTGATAGGGAAAGAAGCTAGTTTAGTATTAAAACGTTACTTTTCCAAGTTAGAAACATTTAAATGCGTTATAATCTTTTTAAAGATACTCGTTAATACCACTATAATGCCGATCTCTGATTACGGTAATAAAATAACACTTAACGCATAACTATGAAAAAGACACGCAGATTAACAACTTTAGTTATAGATAGTCACCGGCAATATGGACACCCTCTTTCAATTTTGTATCAAAAATCATCATAGAGTCGCGCCGACTTAAAATACGTGAGCTTGCCTAATACAAAAGTTTACTTTATTGAAATTATTTCATTCTTTTTAGAGCGTTTGAAGTCGGTTGTATTTTTTTACAAAAATAAATTATTATTCGATTATTAGTAACAGAGAAAATTTAAAAAATTGTAAATTTAAAATTCCCATGTTATTCTTATGGAGAATATTGTCAAATGTTGTAGTTTGCTTGTTTATGGATACATTTTGATCAAACTTGGCAAATTTATTTATTTTGTACTAAGCTATCAATATTTTACTCAAAAACACACTTTATTAGTTTCCTTGTAGCAGCAAACCTAGGTACTCGTTAAACCTAATGTTATTAAAATATATTTAACTGAAAATCAATTCAGACAAATGGAAATTCGCTTAGTCGGCAGGTTTGCTGCGGCGGGGGTATTTTTGTATTTATTGCTGCAAAACTATTTGTAATAAACAAAGAATTTTTCTCCCTCTCTCTTTCTCTCTCTCTCTCTCTCTCTCTCTACAGACTATTTCCTAATTTACCTTCGTATCTTAACGATAAACGCTGCTTAACACAACTGAAATAATTAGTGCTTCAATGAAATAAACTGGTGTTTGTTTTTGTTTTAAGTACTAGTCAAAAATATGTACTACACCATCTAACAATGAAAGCATCAGAGTCTGACTCGTCTGAATGTTGATTTGGTTAAAAAATTAAATGAATATTGTGGAAAGCCGTAAGGCCTAGCTTCGGAAATCGTTTACAAAATGGCAAACGTCTTATTTATTTTTTTATTTTTACTTTATATTCCAACGGAAAGCTTCATTTTGATATTGGTAAACATATAAACAAGACTTGCTTACGACTAGTAAAATACAATCTTTAATAGTAAATTTATTGTTTTGCTTAACGAATATTCAAATAAAATAAATTATTCAGTCAGTATGCCTTCAAAAAAGAAAATAAAACTTCAAATTTTGTTGTAGCCAGCTAGACTTATGGTTCCACAATCCTCAGGCAGGCTAAAACTTCATATTCCTACTGTATTTCAAATTGAAAATCATCATATTTGAACAAATTGTTAGATGTTAATCTCTAAAAATGCATTTGCAAAGGGAGTTTTATTTAAAATTATCAAATTGACAAAGAAAATATGCAAAGTCCAGACATTTCCACATTCATTGTACTTACTATACGATAAATACAACCAAATAAAAACATTATATTTGTATTTTTAGTTTTAGACGTATTGTGCTGTTGTATTTTTTCACTAAATAAATATCCTTAACTACCTTGATTCTAATTGTCTATTTTATCATACCCTAAAATCCACTTATATGTCATTTATATACTTTCATTAATTGATACAGAGCAGCGAAAACAGTTATACTCCTATAGCCTAGAGTGTGTGCCGGACCCAGGCGGCGGGTGATTGTGATGTTGCCACTTCGAACATCCTTACTCATATACACATTGTGTATTAGAGATGGCTATGGTTGATATGTCATAAGTTAATATTGGTTAAGAAACAAACATTATAAAAGTTATTTTATTTAGGCAACATTGATGCTTGATCGCATAAAGTTTTACGATTAGATGAACTGACACAGAAATTCATTTAAGGGTTTTAGGTTACCCTTGGCAATAACGTCAAGCCGCTCACAGACTTATAATCTACTCTAGACCCATTAATAATGTGATGTGAACATTAAATAGGTACACAATCGCCATCCAATGTTTGTCACCTCACCTGCCACTTTGTAGACGTCAGAGGCCCAAAGTTCTCCAGGTTGTGTCTCCTCTGTCTGCAGACTGATTCCGTACAGCTGTTGGAACAGAGAGTTAAGACCCTCCATGCAGCCTCCTAGGGAGAAGTACGGAGAGAACTCGCTGCTGTTGGCTTTCAGCCATTTTCGCTTGGCCTGGTTGGTTAGGTAAGGAATGTCCCAGGCCGCAAGTGGCTACAATGATGAGTTAGTTTAATTTTACAGCTTACACTCATCAAGACAACTTACACATTAGGATGAACTAAGAATGTCCCAGGCCGCAAGTGGCTACAATGATGAGTTAGTTTAGTTTTACAACTTACACTCATCAAGACAACTTATACATTAGGATGAACTAAGTCTATGTTATGAGAAAATATTGTAAATTTTAAGGAAAGTAATAAGCCTTAGTAAGCAGTGTTTAAAGTTATAATAGTCTTTGACTTGTGAACTGCAAGGGTTTCATTGAACTAGGAACACAGTCAAAATTCTAACATAGACTAACCAACACAAGTAGACTTTTCATCCCACTGTAAATTTTGAAGCTCGTTTTTCGTGTCTAGATCATGTCCGGTGACACTATTCATTAGTGTCGATGAAATTTTGTTTCTATTATTTTAGGGTTAATTTCATGAAGTGTGCTTTAGTGTTTGGTTATATAACTAGGGGATGAGTTATTGTTTATTATAAGATTGTTTTATTTGGTTAAACAAGGTTTTAAATTACTGAAATAACAAGAAATAATTTGTAAACAAAACACCATCTCAACAGTGCACCGGACAGAACTAACAATAAAATTGTCTTCAGCTATTCTACAAGGATGAGAAATCAACTAAGGGAGTATGTTTTACCTATGCTTCTATTAACCATCACAAGGACTGTAATGGGTAACAAATATACGGATAAAGAAATTCCTTGGTGACTACAGTTAGGAAAACTATTAGGCCTACTATTTTTTTTTTAAGAAATAACACTGTATGCATGAAGTAGCTATAGGCTAGCATGATTTTATTTATTTATTTTTTAAAGAGGCTGGCGCCCTCTTTTAACCTTGCATTTTCCCGTCCACATAGACTACAGATCTGTGTGTGGAACGTATCCAGCAAAGCAAGGAGTGAGCCGGTACAGTACGAAGGTGAACTGCACTGATAAATTTTAGTGGCAGTGACCAGGATCCGAACCCACGACATCGCTGCCTTGGGCCCGAAGTCCGTGACGCTACCAACTGAGCCACCGACTCACCACTGTATATGATACAGCATTGTATTTAAAAATTGTGGTACAGAAAAAATATACAGTAAGAATAGCCAAATCGTTTTGCAAGAGACAACTAACAGAGACTTCCACTGTAGCTTACTGAAAAGTCTTCTTTTTTTTGTTAGAGCAGTGTTTGTGTTGGACAGTGTAAGTAGGCCTATTTCTTTTCCAAGCAAGCATTTGTACTTTCTCATCTTTATGAACAAAACGATCATACCCTCGACTGAGCATAGTTCTCTAGCTTCATCTTGGTCATGTTGTCAAAGTCTTCTTGAGCTCTTGGCCGCAACTGTTCTGTCAATGTGTCTAGGAACTCGGATACCACCTCCGGCTCTTCCACAATACTGGACTTGAGGGCTCTGCAAGTAATAATACACTTAGTTTATGCTAACAATAAATTTACAACTTTTATTTTGCTTTAGAAGAGTCAAAATAAATCAGTATATTTTTTCCTTAAACAACAATTTATGATTTACAGTAAGTCGTTGGAGGCCAGTAAAGGCAATAGCAAGGGATCTGCAAGCCAGACTTTTTACTACAGGCAGATTTTAAAATGTTCACTTTCAGGTCATAGCCAAAATTGGATTGCTTTGGAAAGTATTAATTTTTTAAATGTTAATTGTCTACAGCATTGTACACATTTTATAATTCATTACTGAGAGAAATAGTAAGATAATTTATGAGTTTTGTTTATTACCTGTGAGCAAAGGTAGGAAAGCCGCACACAGAGGCCAAGTTGTAGCGAGATTGCAGCATCTCGGAGAGTCGATAGTCCTGCTGAGCGTCAGGGTACAAGTAGATCTTGTAAGCTGCCTCTCTCGCTCTCTCATCTGGTGAGTCTGCATACAAACCGTTCACTATCACCTTGTCCCCCTCCATCATGAATCTGTAAACACAATAAAACCAAGTGTGTCGAGTAACTATCAATAACACTCTAATCCTTGTAACCAATTGGATTGGCCAGAACATAGAAACCTAGTTATCCAAATACCCACGTCACTGCAAACCTGCAAATTTCCATTGGCCTGAATGGATTCTCACTCACAACCTAACCAATATTTGCATCATTACAAACACAATATCAAAATTAGGGATGGACAGGTCCCGAACTTTCGGGGAATTTTCGGGAGAAAAATATTCCCGATTATCGGGACGGGATTACATTTTATTCGGGAATTTTTCGGGACGTGATTTGGTCCGATCGTCGGCGATTTTGCTGCTTCGCGAGTGACGATGACATCGCTATCGCGAGAGATGTTCACAAACACAATAGTTCCGCCAACGCAGGAAGCGAAGTCATTTCGACGATCGCGCAGTGACCAGTGAATTTTTGAAAGAGTTGTTGCGAACCAGCTGATTGAGTACCTTGAAACTAACAAGTTGTTTGATTGTTGCCAGCATGGTTATCGTAAAGGAAGGTCAGTGGTAACTGCAGCAACAGAGTTTATTGAATCTGTGATCGACTCAGTTGATAAAGGCAAGAAAGTTGTAGGCATATTTATGGACTTGATTAAAGCATTAATCACCTTTGATAGCATTAATCATGGGACTTTATTACATAAATTGAAATTGTTTGGGATTGAAGGGAAAGAATATAATTGGCTTAGTACATATTTATGTAACCGACAACAGTTTGTAGAAATTTTAAATTTAAATAACAATAGATTGCTCAAATACAAATCCACTCTTAAACAGGTAATAAGAGGTGTTCCTCAAGGGTCCATATTAGGACCTTTGTTATTCACATGCTACATAAAAGACATGCCAAAATTACATAATAATTATAGCTTATGTCTTTATGCTGATGACGCTAATCTTCAAATAAATGGGCACTCTATTGAGGAGGTTGAGTTGTCATCATTTTCAAACCTGGCTCTTTTAAATCAGTTTTTCCAAAATAATAGTTTAGTACTAAACTCTGCCAAAACAAATTTCATTGAATTCAAAACTTATCAAAATATTAAAAATATGCTGTCACCTACCATCATTCTAAATTAAACTGAATTAGAGAAGGTGTATGAATCTAAATTTTTAGGATTAACTATAGACAGCAACTTGTCTTGGAACAGCCATGTCAATAATCTAGTTTCTAAATTAAACTCTGGGGTATATGCACTAAGGAGGCTCTCAAAAATTTGTTCAACAGAGACTCTGAAAATAGTGTATTTCGCCTATATTCATTCAAATATCGCCTTTGATCTTTCATTATATGGGGCAACTTCCATTCAAAATTTGAACAAAATACTAAAAATTCAGGAACAATCAATTCAGATTATATTAAAATTAAATTATAATGAATCAGTAAAACTCTTTTTTTCTAAAATTGGTATCATGACTGTATATGCAATGTACATTTATGAAACTATAATTTCTGTGAAAAACCGTCAGGACCAACTTCATTTTGTTGGAGACACTCATAATTATAATACAAGATTCAGGAATAGAATTGGCATTGACAAACATAAACTTGATGAAAAAAAGCCAATGTATATGGGGTCAAAATTTTATAATATGTTACCAAAAGCCATTAAATCTGAGAAAAATATTAATAAATTCAAAAATCAACTAAAAAAATATCTTATTGATTTAACATTATATTCTTTCTCCGAATTCCCATGTAAAAATGATGTGTAAAGAAAGTTTTTAGTTCTGTTTTTCTTTTCATGCATATAACTATATCTTTTGTTTTGACAGCCTTAGTATTAACCAATCTTAGTTATAATGTATCTTAGTATTCATTAATATTGACCCCATTCTATGTACAGAGTACTAATATTAAATAAAGATTTTATTGATTGATTGATTGATACCAACATTCGCGCCGTGACCGCAGAGTCATACTGACGATTGCGCCGTGACCGCGGAGTCATACCGACTATCGCTCCGTGACCAATGAGTCATACCGACGTTCGTGCTGTGACCGCAGATTCATACTGACGATCATGCCGTGATCGAGAGTCATACCGACGATCGCGCCATGACCGCGGAGTCATACCGACGATCACCCCGTGACCGCGAGTCATTTTGACAATCGCAACGTGACTGTGAGTCACAAGTTTCTATAGGTACCTGTAAATTGTTACCCATTTTAGCGAATTTCCCATATAGGGAATAAGCTATTACCGTAGTACTCATGGTAAGACCTGGACCCGGGACCGATTTTTTTTTTCGTTTTTAGGTCCCTAGAGGCCAAAAACACCATCCGTTCAAATTCATATATATATATATATATATATTTATATATAGCCTATATATATATTTATATATATATATATTTATATATATATATATTTATATATATATATATATTTATATATATATGTGTCCGTTAGCGTCATAACTCGCGAAAAAATGATCCGATTTTGATTAAATTTGGTACAAACGTGTAAACCTACGTTTATTCGAACGAGTTCGCGAACCAGCATGATCGGACCATGGGAACGGGGGTTTATGGGGGGTTTTATGGGGTAAAAATGGGTTTTTCCCATTTTTGACAAAAAAAACATCAAATTTTGCAATTTCTTTCTAAACTATTTTGTAGAGCTTAAAAAAACAAATAATTTAGTATATTGAAGCGTTATAATGCGCCTAATGGTTACGGAGAAAATTCCAAAAAATTGCAAATTTAAAATTCCCATGTTATTCTTATCGAGAATAAGTAAACTGTTGTAGTTTGCTTGTTTATTAACATATTTTGCCCAAATTTGGAACATGTTTTTATTTCTTACTAACAATTAACATTTTACATAAAAAACACTTTTACCCTCCCTGTTGCAGCAAACCTAAGTATGTTTTAAACTGATTCTATTTAAATAGGGATAAATGTGATATTTTTAAGGAGACATTTTAATGTAAATCCAATCAGGCAAATGGAAATTCGCTTAGTCTGCAGGTTTGCTGCGGCGGGGGTATTTTTTTGTTTTTACAGATCAGTGCCACAAACGGTAAAAATTGATTTTCTTTTTTGGTAACTATGCAATACTCAAGACTTCATTTTTAGCCATTTATTATAGCTCTTCAATTTTATGCATAGGAAAAAATCCCTTCCGTCCCATCCCAAAAATTGGGAAGGAAATAAAAATCCCGTCCCGTCCCAAACTAAAAATTCAATCCCGTCCATCCCTAATCAAAATACAAAAATCTGTTTATTTCCAGAACTTTGTCTCCCTCCATCATGAATTTAAAACACGTCAAATAAAACCTGATACCTTAAATAACTCTCTAGGCTAATAACACAGTTTTTTAAGAATAAAATTATTTCCTGACAAATAAAACACTTTGAAAACTTACAAGTTACGGATGTCTTTGGGCACGACCTCGGCAGGCACAGCGCGAGGTGTTACAGCACCGGCCATGAACCTCTGCCCCAGCTGTAGAATGTAATCATTGAGTTGCACAACCTCCCTGCGCTGATCTTCAGGCAAGTGGATCCCACACAACTCAAAATCAAACATGAACAGCCGGGCGACATGCTCGTCTATGGCCGTGGTAGGGATCTTGTCACCTCCTTCCACAACCGCCCGCAGTGCTTGGTACAGTGGTTTGTTGGTGTTCAACCTGATAAACAGAATTATAAGAAAAATTTTAGTAAAAACCCAGGACAAAACTTTAACAAATTTATACTTTTTTTATATTTAGGCTTATAAATTGTATCTGGCTGTAAACTGAGTGCTGCATTTTGGAACTGATATATGTTGCAGAACTAGTAATATGGCTCATGAATACTCCACTTTCAATAGTGTACCATATTAAATTGGAGTAATGAGGCCTCTAGTTTAAATTACTCTTGATTGGCAGACCTACTATATATTCTATAATATATTTTCTGGAAGAATAGGGGGTCAGTCTAATGGCAATTACTAAAAATATTTTAACTTTTAATAAAGGAACCTTAAAATGTCGACAATCAAAGCAACATACTAAGAACATAAGAATTTTTAAACCATTTAATGACAAGAAATTATTCAGACCTAGGCTATGCTTCTCTGTAGTAATTTTAGTCATTTAAGCACGGAGCAAATTTTTTTGGGGGGAGGATATAGAATCTGTTTCATCCTGATTGCTGACATGAGATAACTTCCTGGCTATTATATACGATCAATAGTGACCTGAAGTTTAAAGTAGGCTAGGATAAGCATTGACTAATTGTCAAAGGTATAAGTGAAAAGAAGTTCATTTGCTCGGTTCTAAATCTAATAAACCAAGCTAATAAACGGACTGGATGATTTTCTCTGTCTCACAACACCAGCTACTGTGTATCTATAGCTCCAGATTTTTTGACTTTGGTATTGAACTATGATGAACAACATAATTCTCGGTAATTACAGTATCATACATTTGTGTACCGTTGTCATATTGTGTAGCCTAGGCCTACTCACTTCTCGACAACTCCACTGATGGTGATGCAAGCGTCTTCTGCTGCTTGTGCGAAGGTTCCGCGAGGGTGAGCAATGCGAATGAACTCAGCCAAGTCCGCCACCCGACACAAAGAGTCTGACAGCTCGTCAAAGATGCTAACCATCTTACGGGTTCTAATCCAACAAAGTAGGTCTTAGTTTTAAGTGTCCTGGACTATGGTGTTCAGTATCACATTTGTTAATCACAAAGCAAACTATGATATCAATGTAAAATGTGCAAATAGCAATAAACATGTTTGGTTGAGCCCTAACAAGGTTTGCCCTACAAAATATACAGGGTACGGTGACTAAAAATAAAGCAGGTTTTTAATTAATACTTCAATAGGCCTACTTTTGTAAAGGCCTTCTGCCGCTACCAACAATCATCAACTACTTTATAAATGATTTTATAGCTAGAAGAGAAACTCAAACATTTCTTTGTATGTAACATTAAATACTAACCCTTTCCGCGATTATATCGCCGCTACCGCGACATTCACGTCTAACCGTTCCACTCTTATGTCGCAGCCGCCACGACATTTTCAGCATCGCCTTTTTATTAATAAATCCCTTTTATACAAATAGCGTTTGCATGTTTTGAACTTGTGTTGAATACATAACTCAATGTTTCCTCATTCATTTTACATGTCTTTGGTAGCACAAAAAATATTTAAAAATGTTTTAGTCAGCTGTGGAGTAAAGAATAATGAAATGACAATAGTAACAATGACGACAAAAATCTCCATAAAAATCTAAGTTTGAAAATGCATTTTTATTTTTTTTTAATATACCTATCAATCCCTTCTTGTAATGTCTGATTTGAATTGGCAACTAGATAATTAATGTTGATAAAGTGTTTTACAAATCCTAAAAATGTGTTAGAGCCCACCGGTAAAGTTTTTTACAAAACCCCCCAAAAAAATATTTTGTATAGCCTACCACAGTTAATTTTTTTTATTATGACAATACAAAAAATATTTTATGGCTATATGTTTTTGATTTTGTGTTTTACTTGTGCCTACGATTTTAAGCTGAACAAGAATCAAGCCCTCAAGTACAACAAATAAATTATTTTAGTTAGTATGTAGTACACACAAAACCCCAAAACATGTTCTTTTGCATGACGATAAATGCAAGCGCATGGGACAAAAAGGGGTCAACTAATCCGAGTGGAAAGGGTTAAAGACTTAAAGCATCAAAGACATCAAAGTATTATGTAATTGGTTGTAGCCTACTTGAGAGACAAATGTGAGATTGTTTTGTATGGCCTACTTGTTCGATAAAAACTGTTCAAAATGTGGTTTCTATTTTTACAGGCTTATCAAAGATCTTTGGTAGGTTAAGTACCACTTCTTGCTTGCTAACCTTCACCTGATTAAGGCTCAAAATAGATACAGATGTAACAGTGATTAATTAGGGGACATAATTCTATCACGGTATAACTGCAGATTTGATTAAATAACTAATAGCATAAGTTTTTTTTTTCTTCTTCTTTTTGCTATGACGCTAGGCACGAGCCCGGGATTGTTTTAGTGAATTTCCCATATAGGGAATAAGCTATTAGGTACCGTAGTACTCATGGTAAGACCTGGACCCAGGACCGATTTACTTTTTTGTTTTGAGGTCCCTAGTCCCATTTTTGACCCTAAAAACTTAAAATTTAGCATTTTATTTCCATACAATTTTGTAGAGCTTAAAAGAACAAATAATTTAATATATTGAAGCGTTATTATGCACCTAATGGTTACGAAGAAAATTCCAAAAAACTGTAAATTAAAAATTCTCATGTTATTTTTATGGAGAATAAGTAAACTGTTTTAGTTTGCTTGTTTATGAACATATTTTGATGAATTTTGGAAAATACATTTATTTCTTACTGACTATTAACATTTTCATTTTACAAAAAAAATAAAATGTTTACCCTCCCTGTTGCAGCAAACCTAAGTAGGCCTACTCGTTATATTTAATTAGGCTATTTAAATAAGGAATGAATGTGATATTTTTAAAGTTACATTTTAGTGTAAATCCAATCAGGCAAAGGGAAATTGGCTAAGCCTGCAGGTTTGCTGCGGCGGGGGTATTTCACATTACTTAAGGCTAGACCCAGGGGTTGTGGCAATATCACTTCTAGATAAAATCAATCGGTGATTTGGCGGAATTTGAACCCGGGACCTCAGACCCGCCATAAATTTTATTGGGGGAATCTAGGTCCCACGCTCTAACCACTTGACCAACTTGCTCCCCCAGTAATGTAGTATAAATAGAATAATAATAACTTAAAAGTAGGAAAGTCTTTCAACAGTCAAATTCATTTGATTTTTTTTATTTGATTCTTTTTTTACCCTCTACCTAAACAAGCAAATTACAATTAATTTGTCTGAGAAAATTTATGAGGAAAAGTTACCTATTAGGGTTGCAAGTTTCCTCAACAAGTTCATCGGCCTTTGCAATTGCTCTTTCCTTGAGCAAGTAAAATCCTTCATGACTGTGAAGCTCTGGTATGCCAAAAAGTCCCTGTAAAAGATTAGCCTATTAACGGATAACTTATATTAACTTATAAGCGATATACGGTAAGTTACCCCCTTTCATTTACAACTTAAAACACCTTCTATTATTTCTTACTCTGCTCATTGTGATAGGGAAGTTGGTGTAGTTTTCACCAACCCAATGATCAAGAATAGGCCTAGTTAAACATTTTAGCCAGCCTACGTTAAGTTTGGGCTGCATTTTAGTATCTGTCCTACACTCATTCGAATGAATATATCGATTGATATATGCCTATCGATTATTTCATTCGATATTATCAAGTTTGATTAGATAGACACCTAACCTAACTAACCAAATTAAATTATCGATCGAATAACCTATAGCCTATATCGATATTTTTCATTTGAATGAGTACGTAGGATAGATACTAAAGCGCAGCCTAAGTTAGGCCTATTACAAATTTTAAAATACAAATGACAACTTACGGTTCCTTCCTTGGTTAGATTTAGGTTTAATATTCTGCCAGGCCTTGAATTGAAGGCTGTAGCCAAAGGAGTCCACGTACTAACAGAACACCTAGCTAGTAAACTGTTTTGTTTACTTAGACTTGACAAAACACCTAAAAACGGTTGTTTCATTTTATTGCGAGATAAAATCTGAGGACAAAGATAACAAAGGGAATTACATCAATAGAACTTCAATAGCCTAGGACTAACACACGTTATCTAATAATAAATTTGTCCTTAAATGACTGTCCTTGATGATAATGAAAAACTTATATCGCTTAATTTTATTATTCTCATATTTCAATGAGGTTATGTTATGATAATAATCCGAGCAGTAATGCATAATGCAATGTAACACAAACAATGATGCAAAAATACTGCAGTGGTGCATGTGCAGTGAAAAAAATCTTCATGAAGATTACGAGAAATTTAGTTTGAAAATTGTAATTGCTAACAAGGGATAAGCATTGGTTATGTTATCATAGAAATATGAAGATCGGACCCACTTTATTTTGCTTTATAATCTAACGTGGAGTCATTATTATCATTGAGTATAACACCATAATAGTCGATGTTATTATTAAATAAATTATCTATTTAGTATTTATAGAAGTACTTAAGAGTTCAAGTAGTTATGTAAAGGTCTGTTCGAGCGCAGGGTGAGGGTGATATTCCCCAGAGCGGGTTCAGTCTTTGGACTTGAATGTCTGGACTAAGACTCGAGGCACCCTCAGAAATTCAGAGAGCAGTCTTCTGCAGTTCTTTTTCATAGAATCCGCCTATAATTTCCTCGCCATTTTGATCGGCGATCCTATAAGTAACCGGTCTAGTGTTTAGAATTCGTGCTATTGTAAATATCTCCGAAGTCCAGTTTTGTTTATATTTATTCGCAAACACGTCTTTTTTCGTCGTGATACGAACTCTATCACCGAGGTCGAACTTGCTGTTTTTACGAACTTTGTGTTCGCGCTCAATGTACATTTTTAATAGATCAGCCTCGTTATCTTTGTTGACCTCAACTGGTCTCATTTTAATAGTGTGGTGATAATCGTGTTGGTTATACTCATCTGTGACTTCTTGTAGTATATCGTACCACTTGTGGGATTGTCGGACATGGAATTTCACTTTAAGTTTCTCATTCAGTGTCCTATGATATCTTTCAATTATTGCGGACTTCTCTTCACTCTCTGTATGGTATAGTTTGATATTGTGCCTCCTCAACATGTTGTTGAACGGTTTGTTTTTAAACTCTGTACCTTTGTCGGTATGTAAAAGCTTCGGTGCTTTATGACCATCACTGTTTGCTCTTTTTATAATCTTCTCGAAAGCCGTTGTCAACTCTGCCCCGTCTTTTTTCTTTAAAGGTTCGGACCAAACGAATTTGCTAAATGTATCTATGACATTTAAAATGTACTTGTACCACTTGTTCTCCCTAGCGTACTGCTTCATTATTAGTAAATCTGCAGCCCACAAATCGTCGATACCCTTGGTGACTATTCGGCGTTTAATGAACTTTTTAATAACCGGCCTGTGCAACTCCTTGGCTTCTAGGTAAAGTAATTTGTCATAAAAATCAGTTAGAGCTAGGGCAACGAGCCATACTCGAGCTTCAGAGACTGCAGAGGAACACCAGGCCGGGCTTTTAGCTGATTCGATCAGACATGCCTCCCATAGAGAATCTGAAACCCCCAATGAACGCCACGTTAGGCTTTTAGCTGCAGGCACACCTCACATAGAACCTCAGAGACATCTGATGAACGTAACATTCTAGTACCAGCCAACACAAGTAGAACTGCGTCACATAGAACTGCTGAAACACCTGAAGAGTACCAATAGTTGAATTGCATCACAAAGAGCCGCTTAAATGTCTGATGAACAGCATCAGGCTGGGGTGGTGGCCAACAGTAACAGAATGGCTTTACAAAGAGCTGCACAAGTACAAGAGGAAACCCCTGCTATTATACAGGAAAGACAACGACGGAGATAAGACTTCATGAGTATGATGTGGAACCCATTTAATGGTATAGCTTTTCGATATGATCTGTTCATTGATTATATCAATCACAGTTTTTTTTTGTATAGGCAGAATGAGCCAAACATGTAGATATTGTGATACAGTAAAATGGGAGCTAATAGGGATGTGTTGTTCAAATGGAAAAGTAAGGCTTACTTTACCTGCTGAGCCAATTGAGCCACTAAAGACCCTTGTCGTTGGAGAAACAGCAGAATCCAGGTGTTTTTATACTAAATTTGGAAATATAACTCATGCTTCCAAATGACCTCATTTGGTACTTTTGGCCAAGTTGTATAACATGACTATCCCACAACGTTCACTGTGCATGGGCAAATATAACATAGAATTGGCTTATTACTCCCACAACCCGATGAGCCTCATGGCTTCCTACAAATATTCTTCATTGGTGGTCGACAAGCTGAGGCTATAAGGTGCTGTGACAACATCCTAAAACATAGTACAAAGCCTTCAACGCATTTTTTATGGCAACAATGTTTTAATTGCGTCCTTTAAAACCGCATTAGATCAGTGGCCGTCAGATGGTTTTAAAGCCATTATGCGTGCTGACTGCTGTCCAGCTGGGGAGCATGAGTGATGATTCGACGCTTCGACTGTTGATGAAGTGGCAGTGGTCATTTTTGGCAATAAGTTTCACTCACGAGATATTGTGCTGTGCCAAAGAGATGACACTTTTGGTTAGAGTATCTGAAACTCATTGCTTCTATGATGTTTTGCAATACCTTCCATATTTTAGAGTGATCAGGAAAGCTACCATTTCAACATTCAACAGAGTAATCCCACAACCAAGCATCCTACAACTAAAAAGCGACTGCAATACAGTTTTATGTGTCATAATGGTTTGTCAAAACCACTTCAACCCAATCATTCACTACAGATAACGGTTTAGTCGGTTTATTGTAGACATGTGTGCTAGAATTGAAATACCAACAATGAAACAGTATGCTCTAATGATCTTGGTCAAATAGTGATGGAAAGTGTACAAAGATATATCCCAGATAGATTATGACTGAGATATAGCTATAATGGGTACCCTTTGTACAGAAAGTGATCAACAAATTACGGTGGACATTATTCTCAAATAAATGTATCAGGATGAGGATCTGTGGATATTGACAACTGTTGGATTGTACCATACAACCCAGTTTTGACAAAAATTTTCAACGCCCATATTAACATGGAGTACTGCAGTTCAGTGAAGAGCATAAAATACATATGCAAATATGTAAACAAGGGAAGCGACCAAGCTGTTGAGGGAAGCTGCACCAGAGATGAGGTAACTCTTTACCAATCAGGACGTTACTTGAGTTGTAATGAGGCAGAATGGTGTATCTTTGGGTTTCTAGTTCATGAAATCCCACTGTTACTTATCCGAGTGTTCACTTTGAGAACTTCCAGAGGGTTTACTTCAACGACAACAGCCTACATTACGTTTTACAAAACCCAAGAGATACTAAATTTACTGCATTTTTTGAGCTGTGTACTAATGATGAATTTGCTAGGACCCTTTTTTGCAATGAAGTACCCCACTACTACACCTGGAACGCTTCACGAAAAGAGTTCCAGCGTTGCGGTATTGGCTTTCCAGTGGAGAATCAGCCTGATTTAAAGTATTCAGAAGCGCTAGGACGAGTACCACGGCCGTTAACTTCGAGTGCTACTGTTTACGTATGCTACCGTACTTCAAAGTGTATGTGGTCCTACTTGCTTTGATGACTTGCTTTTGAACTGTTGAAAGCCATACATACAATCCATATAGAGAAGTGTGTGAAGTCCATTCTTTGCTCGATCGTGATGACTGCTGTGAATCCACAATACGTGATGCTGTTCTGACTCGCTCTCCACAATGTATCAACGTGAGTCAACGTGAGCCACATCAACGTGATCCTGGCGAGCACCTGTGGGCTGTCAAACCCCTTACAACTTTGAAAAACCCTTAAAGACGACATGGCTGAAGACATATTGGTGTGTTTTCATTGAGAAGTTCCAGGTACACTCTATAATGAGGTAGTTTACAATGAAGTGTTACTGGCAATTATATGTCTGGTTTCGACGATGTGTGGTAGAGATTTGAGTTCATTTGGCCTTCCCACACCTCAACTAGAGGTCAATGTCAATACAGAAGTTCCAGGTACACTTTATAATGAGGTAGTTTACAATGATGCGTTACTGGCAATTGCATCTCTAGTTTCAACTATGTGTGGTAGAGATTTGAGTTCATTTGGCCTTCCCACACCTCAACAAGAGGTCAATGTCAATACAGAAGTTCTCAAAGAGATGCCATACAATACTACTGACCTACAGAACCATGTTTTAGGAAATTTACCGGAACTTTCACCGGAACAACTTGATGTGTTCTGTTTTGTTGCAAACAGAATTGCTCAGCAAAAAGGAACCATAGTTTTCTTGGATGCACCAGGTGGTACTGGTAAGACTTTTCTAACAAATTTGCTGTTGGCAGGCGTAAGAAGAAAAGACCAAATTGCTCTTGCTGTTGCGTCATCTGGAATTGCGTCAACGCTTCTAGAAGGCGGTCGTACAGCAGCTTTCAAACCACCTCTCAAGTTGAATTCTGGTGATGCTGTTACCTGTAATATAAGGAAAATTCTGATCGTGGGGGAAAGCTCTTAGATGCTGCAAACTTTTGGTATGGGATGAGTGCACCATGTCACACAAACGTGCACTAGAAGTTCTCGATTTGACACTTAAAGCTGCCATAAACCATTAGGACTTAATGGGAGGGTTGGTTGTTTTATTGGCTGTAGATTTCAGGCAAACCCTTCCAGTAATTCCTCGAGGAGCACCTGCAGACGAAATAAGTACCTGCATTAAAAAGTCTGCTTTGTGGAGTTACGTTGAGGAAAATAATTTGATGCAGAACATGAGAGAGATTCTTCAAAACGAACACGATGCTGAATTGTTTTTTTTCCAATTTATTAAACATCGGAAATTGACAGATACCTGTTGATAGCCAACAAAGAATCTCATTTCCTCTAAACTATGCCAACATGGTTGATTCATCGGAGAAACTAATACTTAAAGTTCATTCGTTACCATCAGTTGCTGAGAATCATTTGTCCAGTGAATGGTTGTGTGAAAGAGCTGTACTTGCTCCCAAAAATTACACTGGTAATACAATCAACAGCAAGATAGTTACAGCAATTCCAGGTGGCACATCAGAGTATCTGTCTATTGACACTGTGTTAGAAGAGGATGCAGCCGTTCAAAATCTAGTATAGTTTCTCAACACCTTGGAGTTTCCAGATGTCCCTCCTCACAAAATTGAATTCAAAGTGGGGAACCTGTAATGCTACTGAGTAACTTGGAACCT